TATTTATTCATCCCTCGATATAGTGTGAACTATGATTTTTTAACATGTTTCCTTATTGATATTTTTTGAATGTATGATTTATTAAAGAAAGTTAATTGTTCGATGCAGTTACATATAACTATGTGGTATAAGACTGGAGTAAATAACGCATTGACGGGTTTTCCAGCTGTGGCGAAAGAGTAAAGTTTTGAAACCGGGTGTGCGAAGTGGAAAGACACAAGAATTACCAGCAAATTGGAGTAGAGCTGAAAAAATAAGACTGAACTCTGCTAGAAGAGATAAGATGGAATTATCTAACAGTAAGTTCGGTCCAGCAGACTGTTGGCATTCCGTGTCACGCACTGAACATCTTCCAATCTAATCGACTGCCGACCGCTCTCCACTTACCTCCAAAATGGCCTGGAGAGAGATTAGCGGAGAATCCAGATAAAAGGACATCTCTCCCCCACAATGGCAACATAGGGACCTTTAAACTCCCCAAGCAGTTTTTGATGTGTGGGGCTAGGCAAAGCCATATCACCATTCATTCAGCAGTCTCACATTTTAATCATTCCCTCCAAATAAACCCACAAGAGTTACAATGATTAACGATAGAATAATATAAGAAAATTCAAAGATATTTACATATACAGATATTCAAAAAAAAAACACAAAAATGGCAACATTATACTTGTATACATGAAAATTGAATAAGGAAATATTTTAACTGGAGATTTGTGGCTAATCAAAATTTAAAGACGTTTTAAATGTTACTTTTTCAGAGATATTTGAAATGAATCATAATTCTATTTTGTACAAAAGAAGAAAAGATATAAAGCCATTAAGTACGCGCGAATGTTTCGCGGGTTTTTACAAATAAAACAAACTTTGTACTTTCCTTTCTGCGATGATAAATAGTGGATTGGCTCATCAGTGATGAATCCTCCAAGCTGTTTCGCTAATTTATTCTACCAGACCATTTTTAGTGCTCTAATACTGTATTGAACGATTCTGCTTATATATGCGACAATGGAGTCTTTGCTATTTTAGAAAACTGTAGACATCAGGTTTTAGGACAGTATATTTACATATAAAATCATACAAAAGAAGATACTAAAATATGCTAAAATTGAGATGTCCCTCCACTATAACTGATAAAATTGATTTCCGTTTTACCTGTTGATAATTTATAAAATTGCACTTTGTAAGGTTTCCTATTTAAAAATAAGGGATAGTTACAATACCTTGTATTCCTTTATTTAACCAGATTACAACAAGGTTAATCTATATATATATATATATATCAACAAAACAAACTTATGCAAAATTAATAAGGGTAAATTATGTTGCCGACTGCCCAACCATGAAGAAAAATTAAAGAATTATCAATTATTTTACACAAATGAACACAAAGCATGTTGAACATTTATTTATTTCTGAGACTCTGAGACTACAATATAGAGGACGAAATGCCTTACTGAAAGGTTTATTTCGTAGTAGCATATTTTATATGCACACTTGTGGATATTAATAACTACAGAAATTAAATAATATTGTAAATTAGGAAATGATAGATAACCCAAAATCTCGGAGAACAAAGTCTTTATTGTATCTCCGAATAAATACAAAAATAACTCAATCACAAAATAACGGTGTTATCAAATTTGACTATTCTTGTATCATGACCAAAGTTTGCATACTCCTTATTTACATCTCACAATATAAAACAAGAAGCATCAGTCTAATATTTCAATAGATGATGATAAAGTCAGTTTTATATAACAGATTTGGAAGTACCCGATCAATATACAAGGTATGTCCCATAAGTTCCCGGACTGGGTCCATAAAAAAATAAATAAACGAAAAATGTAAATGAATTTGACTGTTTATTATAGAAAAAATATCTGGCTACACGGTGGTACCAATATCGAGGCGGTACTTGCGCGCGCGCCAAGGTTATTCAAATTTATTTAAAGGTCACACCTAGCGCTGCGGCGATTTTACGATGGAACAAAAATTGAAGCAGAGGATTTGCATAGAATTTTGTGTGAAACTTCAAATATCAGCAACCGAAACTTTTGAAATGCTTAATAAAGCCTTCCCCAATGACGCCCCAAAGAGAACAACTGTTTTTGAATGGCATTCTAGATTTAAAGCTGGCAGAATTTCCATTGAAGATGATCCTCGTGAAGGACGCCCAAAATTTCAAAGGACTGATGAAAATGTGCAAAAAATCACCGATTTGATAAAAGAAAATCCTCGAACCACTTTGCTGGAGCTAGAGCAAGACACAGGCATCTCTAAAACAACGATTGGAAGGATCGTAACCGAAGATTTGAGGCTCAAAAAGACTCCTGCAAAATTCATCCCAAGATTCCTCACTAATGAGCAAAAACTGTGTCGGCTTGCAACCTGTGAGGACATGTTGGAAATGACAAGAACGGATCCAGAATGGAAAGACAAGATAATCACAGGCGACGAGACATGGGTCTATGGCTATGACCCTGAAACCAAACCTCAATCTGCCGAGTGGAGAGGTTAGGGTGAGCCTAGACCCAAAAAATCCAGAAACAAGGTGTTGCTGGTCGCTTTTTCGGATAACAAGGGCATTGTTCATCACGAATATCTTCCTGCAGGCCAAACAGTTATTAAGGAAATGTATTTGGGCATTCTTCGCCGTCTAAGGGAAGCGATTCGAAAAAAAGGCCAGAAAAATGGACTAATGGTGGCTGGATCCTACACCATGACAATGCTCGCCCTCACACAGCGCACTTGATGACTAGCTTTTTGGCGAAAAACGGGACACAAATCCTACTTCAACCACCCTATTTCCCAGACATCGCACCAAATGACTTTTTCCTGTTCCCCAAACTTAAAGCAGTTCTAAAAGGAAGACATTTTGACACCAGGGATGACATAATAGAAAAATCGCCGTTAGCATTGAAGAGCATTCCAAAAGAGGCTTATAAAACTGTTTCGACAATTGGGAGAAACGATGGCGCTGGTGCGTTGAAGCAAGGGGGGATTACTTTGAAAAGTTTTAATAAAAAATGTTTTAAAAAATCTTACCTTTTTTTTATGGACCCAGTCCGGGAACTTATGGGACATACCTTGTATTTAATACAACATGCACTAGATTACCAAATTTAGAAAGAACCAAACTGCAAACCATGGTTTCGGGCTATGGCCTTCATCAGTACAGGGACTTCTACGATTACATGATGTAAAATGGATGACAAGCTATCCGAGAGGCCAATATTTCAGAGTAAAGTTGGGGAAAGATGGTTGGACTCCAGCTGCCATGTGTGAGAGGAGGTAGGCGGAAAAACAGCATTCACGTGTGAGGGACAAGAAGAGTCTGGTCACATCTGCGTCGAGTTGCCTCAGGACGAGAGAAAAGTTTACAATGAAAGCTGATGGGCTGCAGTGTCTATAGTTTTCAGTATGATCCTGAAAGACGGTGCCAGGAGAGCCTGACATCGGAGCGGTCTACAAGGCGGTGTAACCCAGCCCGGGGTGTACAGTGTGAATCGGAACTTTGACTAAGTGAATCCTTCTGGTGGCGAAATTGGAGACAAGTCTATCTAAGTGTACCTAATTCACAATCCCATTAACAACTCCTGGCAATAATCGAACTAAGCTGTATCCACAACAAACCTACATTGAACCTTGTACTTAAACAACGACCGCTGAAAGGCGACGTAACAATAACATCCTACGGGTGGAATAATGAAATCAGCTGTCTCAGCCTAATTATGATTATCATATTGATTAGATAAGTGTATTATATATATATTGATTGTAGAACACGCACGGATATATATATTTGTATGTTGTATTACATCTGAATTAAGTTATAATAATCATTTGATATTTTCTACTGAAGGAATATTGATGAACATAACATTGATCGGGACAATTGAAACAGTGACAGCAGACGTTCAACTTATTCCTGTACCTTCGACTACTCCATTGATTCTGTAATCGATACCGTAACGCGATAATTCGATCTCTGCTCATCAATAATTTCACGCTCGGATACAATATGGTGACCTTCACACTTGATAGCCTGAGAAAAGTTACTCTTGAGTAAACAACTTCAGAAATAGATTCAGGATATTTTATTACAGCTACTTCTCTCAACAATGGTTTCTCCACTATGCTGTATTGTGTTGTTGTTGCTTATTCCTCAAGTCGTTTAAACGATCTCCATTAGGTTCCATTGTCTCAGCTTTTCTATTATAGTCCTGGGTTTTCCCAGAGGTCTCTATTCCTATCAAATATGTTGTTGTTGCTTATTCCTCAAGTCGTTTAAACGATCTCCATTAGGTTCCATTGTCTCAGCTTTTCTATTATAGTCCTGGGGTTTTCCCAGAGGTCTCTATTCCTATCAAATATGTTGTTGTTGCTTATTCCTCAAGTCGTTTAAACGATCTCCATTAGGTTCCATTGTCTCAGCTTTTCTATTATAGTCCTGGGTTTTCCCAGAGGTCTCTATTCCTATCAAATATGTTGTTGTTGCTTATTCCTCAAGTCGTTTAAACGATCTCCATTAGGTTCCATTGTCTCAGCTTTTCTATTATAGTCCTGGGTTTTCCCAGAGGTCTCTATTCCTATCAAATATGTTGTTGTTACTTATTCCTCAAGTCGTTTAAACGATCTCCATTAGGTTCCATTGTCTCAGCTTTTCTATTATAGTCCTGGGTTTTCCCAGAGGTCTTTTTTGGAGGATTTGATAGAATTCAATAGATGTTCAGGACTGGATGGTTGGGAATCGCATTTAGAGCATTTCGGGAATGTTTTGATTTTCCCATTAAATTTGATCATTGAAAGAGGTCCTGTTCGTAATGCTCATTCATGCTGTATTGTAGTCGACGACATGTCTGTCCTCTACCAAATCTACAGTAAAACAATTGCTATCTGGTTGATGGAAGTGTAAACTTTGTTATATTGCCCGAATAGACAGCATTGGAGTAAGGTAGTTGAAGAACTACAACTTGATGGTCGGTGGATAGGTGATCGGTGGGCGAATGGTATAAGCCGTCGAATATTAATTTCTACGACCCGGGTTCGAATCCCGCATTAGACACTTTTTAAAACTAAAATATATACTTTACTTGTACCCGATTCTTAGAAAAAGTCCAACCCCACCAGTGAGTACAAGTAACCAAACTGGCACACCTGTAAGTGCAAAAGTCGAACATGCTTTACACCTGTGTATAGACATGAGGTGTACTTACAGTAAAGGCTTTCGTCCACTACTACCCAATACCATGATTATCTCATAAACCTATACTACTTATATTGAGGATAATGGGAAGAAATGCTCCAATCTAAATTTGAATAGAAACGTGTTTAACTACATGGTTATATAAGCCCTTCATTAACTAATTTAAGAAAACATATTAACGCGTCGATACTTTCTTGAATTCGGATGGTAAAGAGAATATGTCCGAAAACTTTTTATATTTCAGTTAAATAAATGAAAAGGTTGCGGCGTCTGCTGTTTATCTGTAAATACAGTTTTGTCATTTTATTTTATAGATATAGCAATTTGGCGGCCAAACAATTAAGTTTTAGAGCGCAATCTCTCCAATATACGCTGGTATGAAAAGTTGAAGAGCACAAACAATCAAATATATATACAAATATAAATCATAAGACACCAGAACTGTTTTAGTTAGATGAAGAAGGACTTTCCCGAAAAAACTTCCTTCAACCAGGTAAATTGAAAAAGAGTTGCGGCGGATCTTATGGTTTTTATTTTTGTAATTTGTCGAAATTCTCAAATATTTGAGTAATCATATATTCATAAAAAAAATAAAAATCACCTCACCTGTCAAAATTGACACTAAAACTGATACGCCAACTAATGCCATCATCTACCTTTTCACTACAGATTTGGCCTAGCCACTTTACCAGCTAAATACCTCTTAAGCTAATTGTGAGGATTTCATTTGATCCCGTGTGGATCTAATGGATTAAAGCCCACTCTGGAGCCATTATCCCGAAAACCTTTGTCTTCAGATGGACGCTTCTCAGTTTGCCAAAGCTGGTGTTTTGGCTTTGTCACCGACTCGAGTCCGCCAGTTTGAAGAGAAGTTCAATAGATGACGCTTAGTTTTAGCGTCTATTTTGATGGGAGAGGTGCCGTTTATTTATATAAATCAATATCCTCGCAACAAAAATTTCAAACAATAAAATGATATATATATTTCAAAGTACAGAAAGAAATATTAAAATAAATTTGCATATACACCTATCCCCCGATTTACACGGTAGATACGTTCCTGAGAAAAACTTGTAAATCGGGGGATAGGTGCATTGACAGGTTAAAATATGTAGTCAGCACATAAGCTCGGGATTCCTCGTGAGGTGTGTACACAGCGCGTGTGTTCAATCACAGTAGCATTTAGTATAGTGCGATAAAAAAATCTCATTTGGAAAACCGTGTAAAAGCAAAAACGCGTAAAACAAGTACCGTGTTTAATCGGGGGATAGGTGTATATTACTTCTTTGTGTATTTCAAAGCGTTTCCGAATGGGTATTGTACAAATCATTACATCAAGCTTGGTTTACCACTTATTTGGAATAGATATTGGGAGATATATGTGTAAATATTTGATTTACACAATATATTATTAATATAATATTTTATTAATAATATAATCCAATAAATTTAGTTTTTCAGTAACCTTAACACATCAGTATGGTTGACATTGAGTTTTTATATGACACTGGTTTTCAAATTTACATCTCTTTTGAAAGCTTTTTCTGTTTAATTCGTAATGGATTGCATAAAAGTCAAATAAAAACTAATTTTATTTTATACGTATATATGTAAATATGTCCATCATACCCCATATATATACATTTTGACATTTGACATTAAACATAATCATTCTTGCGCACTCTATAAATATTATATTTAATATAAATTTAATCTCCAAGAATATATTTTCCATATAGAGAATATATAGTATTATATTTCACCTTGTGAAAAGACTATCTATAAAATATTTTAATACCAACACACATACTATGTACATACCTTTCCCTATAAATAATTCAACTTTATTCAAAAATTTTAATGGAATTCCTTTAAATTTGATAAATATTTTATGGCAGAAGACACTTTTACAGGATCGTCTGCGACTATAAGTTAATGTATATTTTATAGGCAAGCGGAGATAGGTGGTTGCTGGGTTTGTAATATAATTTTAAATAATAAATTATATGACATCACTTAAATTAATTTGTTCTCTTTTTCTCTTTCCCTGAAAATTGATTCTTTTCTATATTGAAATTTGATCTTAAGCTTATTATTTATTGGATCAATAAATGTGGCTTTCTGATTGGCTTTCATTAGTCACGTGTCCCCAGTGACGTCATCTTCCTTTGTCAAGTTGCGGAAGAAAGTAAAACGTGAGAGAGATATTTATATAGGAATTACTAAAATAGTTTAGTAACACTTCCTATATTAGTGTTCAAGGAATCAACAGATTAGAATTTAGCAGGTATTTCATTTAAAAAAAGAAAAGAAAGAAATTTTATGATATTTTAACTGCTGTGAAAAACCTGTAAAAGAGAGAGAACACAAAGTATGAAAATTAAATTTTATGAAGGAATTTTTAGATCAACAAACTTTGTATCAGAGAGGTGGGGATTGAAATATATAAAACTAATTCAAAGAAAATATCCGTTTTTGACTGTTATTTGAATCTCTGCTTTGTAAAATTATATATTCTATATACAGTTACGAGCGTCATGCGCGGCCTCTGTCACGGTTTGCTTTTTTTTTTGGAATGGCGCCCTCCTATTGGTCGGCTACGATCACGCCACCTTTGCCCCCCCCCCCCCCCCATTTCTGTAACTATTGTGTTGGAGCGGGTCGCTCCTTAAATAAATGCATATATTAGTTAATAACCAAATGGAATCCTCTCTTTCTTTTTCCCAGTAAGAGACGCCTACGGAAGCCAACAGTACATAGACAGATAAAGCACATAAGCTATAGGTATTTGTGCTGAGAACATGGACGAGAACATCTACGTATGTTTTCCCACGTGACGCAGCGGAGCGTGACCTTGCCTGCACGGGTGAGTCAGTTGTTGTTTGGCTCTCTGTTAGATGGACATTAAAACATGGTGGCAGCGATAACTGGATAAAATACGAACCCGTATATTGCAAAATATCGATTTTTGCGTACCTTGGAAGATAATTCAACATGGCTCAGATTCAACCTCCAGAAACTTTCGACTTCTCGACTCCCAACGAATGGCCCAAATGGAGGAAAAGATTCGAACGATACCTCGTGGTCAGTGGAATGAAGAAGAAAGAGGAGGCGGACAAGATCGATTTGTTCATGTACTTGATGGGTGACCGCGCGGATGATATATTCAGGACTTTCAAGTTCGAAAAGAAGGAAGAGGCAACGAAAATTGATTCCGTCCTCAAGGCGTTCGACAGCCACTTCTGTGTCAGAAAGAATATTATCTACGAACGTGCGAAATTTAATTCAAGAATCCAAGAGGATCGGGAGCCAGTGGACGAATTCATCACTTCATTGTACAAATTGGCTGATAGTTGCGAATTTGAGGGTCTTCATGAGCAGTTGATCCGTGACCGAATTGTGGTTGGAGTGAGGGACAAAGCTTTGTCTGAAAGAATGCAGTTGGACAGCGAACTGACTTTGGAAAAGGCGGTGAAAATGGTTCGACAGCAGGAAGCCGTTCGACAGCAGCAAGTCGACCTGCAGCGTCCCTCAACAAGCCAAAAGGTCAATCAGGTGACGTTCAACTCGAAGAAGCAATCACCGAAACAACAACAGCAGCCTTCGAGGAAGAAGGAGAAGTCAGCCAAAACAAGATCACGATGTCCAAAATGCGGAGGTTTCACCCACAGGGAAGGACAGGCTTGCCGTGCTGAAGGACAAAAATGTAACCTGTGTTCAAAAACAGGCCATTTTGCAAATTGCTGCCCAGATAAGCAGGCGAAGACTGCGGAAGTCAAAGCTGTTTCTGAACTTGATGAAGAAATTGGTTTTCTCCTGGAGGTCTCAGCTGTGGAGGATTCATCTAATCTCGATGATGATGAAGGCGAGTGCAGGAGGCGATGGACAGCAGAAATCCAAGTGAACGGGAAAAAGGTGAAGTTCAAGCTCGACTCCCAGGCGGATGTTACATGTGTTCCTCTGTGTCTCTTCAAGAAGATAATGGGACAGCAACGACTAGTGGAAAGTGATATCAACCTTAGAGCTGCTGAATTCTCCGAACTTCAGACTGTGGGTATGTTTATATCAACGATGCGAAATGGCAATTATGAAATCAAGGAGAAGATTTATGTCATTCGTCGTTTGAGTGAACCTCTTCTGAGTCGCCGGGCATGTGAGCTCTTGAACCTGGCGAGGCGAATTGAAGTGGTTGCGACGAGAATTAACCCGATCAAGGAATTCCCTGAAGTATTTGAAGGACTGGGACAGATCGGAAACCCTTACGAAATCAAATTGAAACCTGGAGCAAAACCATATGCTGTGCATACTCCTCGACGGGTACCAATACCTTTGATGGAAAAGCTCAGAACAAGATTGGAAGAGTTCGAGAAGGCGGGAATCATAGCACAAGTTAACGTTGCGACTGAATGGTGTGCACCGACTGTGATTGCTGGTAAACCGAATGGCGACATACGACTCTGTGTGGATCTCTCAAGGCTGAACGAACATGTACAGCGCGAAGTGCATCCCATGCCAGTGGTGGAGCACATGCTGGGGCAACTGGGGGAAGCAAGATTCTTTTCGAAACTGGACGCGAACAGTGACTTTCACCAGATTCCGTTGAGCCCGGACTGCCAGCATTTAACGACCTTCATCACTCCTTTTGGGAGATATAAATACTGCAGAATGCCATTTGGAATCTCACTCGCCCCAGAGTATTTTCAGAGAGTTATGTCAATAATCTTGCAAGGCATGGACGGTGTAATGTGTTACCTGGACGATATCCTGATATTTGCCTCCGACTCCAAGACTCACGATCGAATTCTTCGTTTAGTGCTCCGAAAACTGAAAGAGGCGAAAGTTACACTAAACAAGGCCAA